AATCCTCATTCACCAATGAAATGTGTGTGCATGGCAGTGAACCACAAATGTCTCACATACTTTGAAAAACTTATTAGGGTTGTGAATTGCTGCAGCATAGCAAAAGCATATCCACATTAGCACTCTTCAGTCTTGCTTCAAAGTGTGCTTCAAAGAGGGGAGCATGCTAGCCTCGTTTGCTCCATTATCACTTTAATCACAGAAATATGAACAGGAGTGGGGGAGAATTCTATCCCCAGATCACTTCACCCCGTGAGCTAAAATGCTCATTTTTGGCTTACACAGAGAGACCATCCTTTCTTCCCAGCATCGTGTTTCTGTGATTAAAGTGATGACAGAGGGAGCAGGGGTAACATACTCCCATCAGCATGACTTGACTCCACAACAAAGTTCTGTATAGATTTTTCTCTGAATGGACTACAAGACATAATTCAGTAATGTATTTTGTGAGTATATTGTAGTTATTCATACAGTTTCCTCAGCAATAGTACAGTGGTAAATTTTAAAATGCAGGAGCTCATAATGATATTCCACATAGCCATATGCCTGAGGAAAGTCTATAGACAGAGTTCCTACTCCAGTCCTCTGAAGATGCCGGCCACAGAAACTGGCGAAACGTCAGGAAGAACAACCTTCAGAACATGGCCAAAGAGCCTGAAAAACCCACAACAACCATAAGGGATCATACTTGTGTATGTGTATGGATGCACAGGTGGTCACAACAAAAGCTAAACATGAACAGTAACCTGTTCTGGAGAGAGCGCAAGTGTATTCTGATGTTCTCTGAACATATTGCTGGAAAGTGTAAGAATTGATTATCAACATAGAGTCATCAGATCAGGGTAGAGTCATCAGATTCTCAGCGGGGATGGGGGATGGGGAGTTCCTAATTCTTGTGGTGGTGCAGATCACTGTAGAAGTTATTTAGGCAGTGCCTGGCGAATTTTGAGACCCCAGAAGTCTATGTGGAGCAAATGGTCTATTCATCATGATTGAGGGATGTAGACCTAATGTAAGTCCAAGTAAACCTGATGACATTAAACACAGTTCCTTACAGTTCTGAAATTATGTGTAATGGGCGGTTTTCAGGTGCAGAAGGAGTACCCAGTTACAAAGATAGTTATTAACTATCATTTCAAATGATAGCTGTAAGTACCATAAGATTTTGGGACAATATTGACAAAAATAGCTCAGTGTTTTCTTGCTTTTCTGGACCTTTCTTCTATGTAATGACCCAAGACATTTAGGTAACTGTATATTTGACAGCTAGGAGGTGGATATCCATAGATCAGAAGACAGTATTATTCCATTCAAGCTGACTCACTGTTCGTTAGCTGACTTGAAAATAATGCAGATGTACTGGCATTGCTGCTAAATAGAGATATAGCACACTCCTAAGCATATTTAATCAAAAGTGAAGAATCCACCTATTTGCCT